GGCTGTAGCTCAGGATCTAGAAGGACTATGAGGGGGAGAGGGGGTGGCTTGTATTCATGGATTTGGACAGACTACAAGGGGGATGGGGGTGGTCTCGTCTTCTTGGAGTTAGACGCATTATAAGGGGTGGCGGGGGCTCGTATTTCTAGAAAGGGAGTAGGCGCTTCAAGCCTCTTCTAGAGCCTCGACAAACAAGAAGGAGAAGACATACGAATTCGCTTTGCAAGCAGAGGGAAATCGAAGACAGACATGAATTCTTCTAAAAAGCAAAGAAATGAAACTGAACATCTTCCTGACAAACAAGAGAAGCAAACTGCTACTGCTACTGCTACTGCAACTGCTACGCAACTAGTACTGTTGTTACGCACCACCCTCCCCCTCATAGAACTACGAGCCCTCTCCGACCCCTTATAGTTCGTCCAAATCCACATCCAGGACTACAAAGCCCCCTCACAGTTCGTCCAAATCCAAGACCACGAGCTCCCCCTGTACCTCGTCCAAAGCAAAAACCACGAGCCCCCCCCCCCCACCCCTCCCCCTCTACACCTTATGCTCCGTCCAAACCCAGAACAACGAGGCCCCCCTCCCTTCTATCGAACGGGTCTGAAGATGCTGCGCAAGGGCCTGGTTCAGCAACTAAACATGACTCTGCATCACAAGCCCACCTGAGGATCCTCGATGATATCGCTCATCATCGCGAGGTATACCTAAAGCATCAAAAGAGCAAGACATCGGCAAGACATCGTCAACAAGGGTACCATCGACCATGCGGCCTGAGCTCATGACAGAGATACAGATACATACAAAGAGGAAGTAATATGGCAACCATAACAAAAAAGGCGATGTCGAAAAGCGAATACACTGTAAACGCGACCGCAGGGAAAAACAGTTTGCGAAACGCGTTAGAACAAAAACAGCTACAATAGATACAACAGCGCCACACACGAAACTAGCTCTGTCTGGAAACCTTCGACTGTTCCTATGCCCGGCGTAGCCCCCAAGCGGTCGAAGATCACAAGAAGGTTGCGAGATGCTCTTTCGAAACAAGATTTCGCCCATGGTTGCGTTCGAGAACTGCGGTGACTCAGGCATTCCAAAACGTGATGTAGTCTAAACATGGCACAATCTACAAGCCGCGCGTATACATACCAACTGCTAGCCCGCATCGGCCTGTTCGGCAGTCCTTGCCACCTGGGGCGTGCTGCTGCCGAAACCATATATTTCGCGACTGTTACATACAAGAGTCACAAGAGTCATACAAGCTAACAGAACTGCCTGGACATCTGAAATCTGTCTAGTACAACCAAGTTGCACCATTGATGTCAAAAGCTTCGACCTGCAAGCGAACACCCAATTATTTCTCCCCTCTCGCATGGCTGAGAACTACGCCCACAGAAGCTGAACATTCATCCTTGACAATCTCCACCAGCATTCTGCCACATCTCAGTGCTCCACCACGGTGTGCAAGATCAAGTACAGCCAGAGGGTTACACCTGGTAGATGCGAGGGCATGAGTGCAACAAGCAACCTGGAACCCGTGCGGAGCTGGCGATACCACTGCAAGTTGATTTCCAAGCTGGAGAAGTCTGGCATCTCCAGATGAAAGACTGCAAACATGCCGGAGCAAGCTGCAGTTCTTCAAAAGTGATCCATTCTGCACGCGCACCAAGCCTCCACAGACATGCAGTGCGAGTGCCAGGGTCGGCACAAGCCTCAACAAGCAGTCAACGACTGGAGCAACGCAGGCTATCAGAAAAGTCTAGGACTCCTGTAAGAATACGTGCACACAGTGCCTCTCGTGTCTTCGTACCTTGTGTTTTCGCCTTCCCTTGATCGGTTCGTGCCAGCCAAGGTGAGCCTGGAAATCGGTTCTAACAGCACCTGCAAAGCACTGCAAAGATGTCTTGTACGAATATGCTATGCTCCACTGCTCCACAAGCGCTCTTCAGATTTCCGTCTAACTTGCTTCCAGACAGGCCCTTAGGGAAGTCTACGTCTTACCCAGCAAGACGTGCGGTGCAGTCTTTTTGTGGTGCCCAAGCGGCACTTCTTCCGGAGCCTGCAAGGGGTGGACTTGGCGAAGCAAGCTTCGCAAGCAACGCAAAAAGCCCTAACCAGCGGCTGAAACAAAATGTAACCCACCTCACATGAAAGCACTGTTTGGCAGTACTGCCCTGCTGGTCATGTGGGAGGATCTGCACACGCAGAATGGTTTAGGAGAAGAGGCAACTGATGCCTCCATAGCCCGATTCTTCCGGCGCCTGGCGCCGGAAAGCCTACGAATCGGCGAGGTGCTCACTTTGCTGGCTTTGATGACATGTGCCTGACTGCTGAAGCCAAAGCCTGTCCAGACCATTCTCCGCGGCGACTGCGCAAAGAGGGCCGCTGCTCTGCTTGCTTGAGGGTGTCGTAGGTATATGGGCCTGTGTGAATCCCATCGGCTGCCAGAACCTCTTCGTTGGTCAACGGCCGGCCGTCCTCAAGTCCAAGTAATGAGCCATCGAAAGGATGAGCTGCTCCAATGATGTCCTTCAGACCATGGCCTTTACATGGTATGGAGGGCTCAAGAAATCCGAAGTGGGGAGCCTTTTCCAGATGTCTCTGCTGCCAGGTCATAAGGTGCCTGTCAACATTGGCATGGTGGAAGAAGAAGATGGGGTCATTCGGTGATGTCCAGGCATCGGCGAAGTCCCCATATGTCGGTGCCTTGTGGGCCAGAATCCTATCCGCCAAGCAGCGTAGCTCCCCGGACCGGTGACACGCGCAAGAGCGCTGGGCCTCATCTGGCTCTGTGCAATTTTGTTCGCACTGCAGGCAGTCGTCGCTCCACGCAGCGGGGATGCCAATGGCATTCGTCGCGAAGCACTCCACTCGAGAAACATTGCGCTCCGTGTCCCAAATACCTCCCAGGAAGCTGTGAGCCCAGGTATGAATTGTTGGGTCAACGCACGCATACCACTCCAAGTAGGTAGGTGCCCTCAGGCACAGCTCCCAGAAGCTTGCTTCAAAATGAGTTTGCGAGCCACAAGAGAAGCGATGTCGGGTGATGAAAGGCGACGGGTTCACGTTCCAAGGGCTTCGTAAAAGACCAAAGGAGTTCGATAAGTTGGAGATCTCCTTGGCCGCAGCAACGCGCCAGTGCCCGAACCTCCCGTCCTTCACTGCATTGCCCTGGGCAGGGTCACCTTCGCTGCTTCCGAACCACTCCCAAATCTCGCTCTCACGAGGGTTTTTGCTCTTTGCCTCGATGTTGTAGTCCCAGTAGGGTAAAGCACCAATACTTGGGTCAACCGCCAGAAGGCTTTCTTCAAATCGGAGTGTGAAGGCACGATGGTAGGTAGCGAAAGCCTGTCCTAAGTGGGCCTCATCACAGTGCCTTGCAGCTGCAGCTTGGAGGTGCTGCGCGACCAAGTCGTCGTACGAGACGTAGCGGCGACCGAAAGAAACCTGGCCCTGCAGAGTAGACGTCTTCTTCATGATGTTCATGGCATTGAACACACGGTCACGCTGCTGGACTGAGAGGCTGCGCAGCTCTTTCCGCACTCGCCGCGGATGCTTCGGCTCAGCGGCTCGAAGAAGTGCAGGCGCCATGGGCTCGCGCTCGGGCCTTGTTCGGGACGAAGTTGATGGGCACATCCAAGCCTCCCCTCCGAACTCAATTGCCGACTGCCTAAATTCAATCCTCTCCTCAAGCTTGTCGTGCAAGATGCCTGCGAGAAAGGCAGGATCTTCCAAGACTGTGGCAAATCCCCAACAAAACTCACACAGCTCGCACTTCTCCGGCCTGAGAATGCCTCCACAGTGATCGTAGCACGATAGCTCTCGAAGGAGTCTGCCTTGAAACCACTCATTGTAGGGCCCTGCACCTTGAAGAGTCCGTCCGTCTCTTCAGCGCTTGCCTTCGGATGCGACAGCGGGGGGAGGGGGGGGTGGCCTCAAAGCCTCAACGATCTTCAAACCGGACGAAAACGCAGAGTCGGCGATCCGCCTGGATGGAGAGCCGCAGCAGCCGATCTGCAGCAATGGCCGTCACATTCAAGCGACCCCGGCAGGCATCGTTCGAGACCCAAAAGACGGCTGGATCCTGTGGGTGAAAGTTCCAGTTCCTCATGGCAGAATCACAAGCAGGGAAGCTTCTCACACATTGGGGCAAAAACCACAATGAGCGGTCCAAGGCTCAGCTTCGAGGTGCGGAGCCCCAACAAGTAAGCATCTGGAACCTTCAGGGGTCCCAGGGGCACGGTGCCGCCTGCGAACGCGATCTTGCTCGCACCTGCCACGCGCACTTAAATTTTGAGACCGCAGACGTGCCTCAGAGCAGCCGGCCTTGAAGTCCTTCTCCCCAGGTCCAAGATTTTGGAAAGGATTGGCCCCAGTTCTTCTCCTGGTGCGCCCGGCCATGGCCGAGAACGACACCCGTGGGCGACTCCAGCCGGTAGCTGGCATGAGAACTCAGGGAATACACGAACCAGTGGAGAGCCAAGAAAGGCAGCTTTCCGGCCCAACCTTCAGGCGACTGCCCGGACGAACTCCATGGGACAGGATCCGTGAGATTCGCCTCGAAGCGGAAGCCTTGCGAAGGAAACCACATGGAGATCCGCTGCTGCGTGCCCGTCTGCTTCATCATCAGTGTACCGTTACCACCGCTGACCTCGAAATCTGGCTCCGAGGCATCATCTGGTTCATTGGCAATGGCGGCCCCATGCTTAAGAACCGTCAATCCCGGCGGATTTGCCTCGACGACTGTTGTCTTGCCCTTGCCCTCATCGATGATAAGGGCCAAATATGCCGCTGCATCAGTCAACTGGGCCTTCTCCGGATAATGCCCCACGATCAGGCCAACAGATTGACCAGTTGGAGTCTCGCTGATGCGAGTATACCAGCCTTCGAACCAAGGACTTTTCTGCGGAAGGTGTGGGTCATATTGAGACGCCAGCACCAGAAGCCCGCGGAACAAGCACAAGCGAAGAAAGACGGGCATGGCCTAAACGGCCAACTGCAAAGGCAACCGACTGCAAGGGGCTGACTGAGTTGCACTTTAGCTTTTTATGCTGGGACATTCAACTCCCCTCAGGACAAACTTACCAACAAGATGCAACTGCTTCTTAAACATTGGAGATTTTGTGGAGCATGTGCCAGCACGCACAATAACTTGAGACATCCAGGAAACACAACCGGAAGACGGCTTAAGATACCCCCGAAGTGGCCCGTGTTGGAGAAACAAACATGAGCAAGGCAGTAGTAAACCCCGAGCTGCCCACATAGCAGCGCCATATATCCGTAGCATTGGTCTCCGCCCGAGACTGTCACTGTAGGATCCCAAGCAGACCTCAGGAACAGCTCGATGCTTTCGCGAGGGTTACGACCAAGAGTGGGCTGCTGCTATAGGTAGAACGTGACCTGACTTGCGGTGTTTCAGATAAGCTGCAGCCATGAACATAGCCGCTGCATGCGCCTGGCTGGAAGACGACGTATGCTGGGAGGCATCACCCAATCAAATATTGCAAACCATACGAGACTACATACTGCACGTCATAACTAACTTCAGCCCAACCGCCCAAGGGCAGGGTTATGTAGCTTATGCGGACAACCACTTCTGCCGATAGGGTCGAGGTGAACAGAGGGGAACATGGCGTAAGACCGCGTACTGCCTTCGAACGCTTCGCACCCCATTGATTTGGAGGCAACCCGAATCCTAGGCTTGACTGCAATCCAAGGAACTGCCGCGTTAGTGAAGCTGCCGATCTGAGCTGCATCAGTTGCACCCTTTCGGCATGGATCCGAAGACGGATGGGCCTCGCGACTTCGAGCAGTCAGCGTGCCCAAACCCACGCCGTGTGTGTCAAGTCGTCCGTCCGCGCAACTGGCCTCGCAATCGTCCCCACCGTACTTTTCTGCGAAGAACCTGAGCAGCTTCTTGACCAATCGCAGTGTCTGCCCGCCGCTGTCATGGCAGGACAAGACAGTTTGAGAATGCGGCGTGTTCTCGATGTATGGAACGCTTGGTGAGATCCTGAATTCAACACGGTGCGCTCGAAACAGGCAATCGATGTGCGGAAGCAACTCGAAACATCTGGCTAATAGCATTCCAAGATCGTGCTTTGCAAGGTGCCTATCGCCATGAGCCCCAAGAGATAGCGAAAGCTGTACCTGAAGCTTAAGACTCATCATTCAAGGCAATCCAACCCACTCGCCAGCACACAGGCCCGCAGGCCCAACATGACCCACTCCGAGTTGCACATGGTACCTAGCCGTGCTCCATCTAGAAGCCGTCTTCGTCAAGCCCTGCTCCGACTCGTTGTCCTGATTCTGTCATGGGAGAACGTTGAAGAAGATGTCAGCAAGTCAGTCCACACTAAACATGGTCAACCAATCCGACAGCATGACAGGGCAGTGGCTGCAGTTGCATCCGATATGTTGGACTGCATGTCTCATCGACTTCTACGATTCTACAGCATCTCAAGATCCCCACCGTGAGCACCACAATGGCAGTATCGATACCGCGAGGCAATCGTAGCAAGGGCAACTTTACTGAAGGTCAAGGCACCATGGGGCTGTAGTCTGGAGAGTTTCGTAGGGAAGCATCGTCAGACATGGCATCGGGGCGAAGCGTGCCGACTTGTTGCTTTGAGTCAAGTAACTACAATGGTTGTGAAAATGTGTAAGCATTTGAGCGGTTCTGGCGTGCTCAGGCAAATCCGTGTCGGATCAAGCGATACACTATGAGCTTTCAGTTGCTTCCACCCCTTTGGCTGATGAGGCCGTAAGCAGGAATCGACATCTTGTGGTGGTGGCAGCTTCTCCCGGACCACACGCAAGAACCAATCTCCAAAGACATGCTCTTGAACCTGCAACCTCAACTGGGGAAGAAATGCCCACACAGACAGAAGCAAAAAACAAACAAAAATAAACAAGCAAACAAACAAACGAACTCGGCTGAGGTGGATCAGAGAGCATTATTCTGCAGCTCTGCTTTTGCCCCATCGTCTACCAGCTGTATCTGCAGATGTCATTCTCTGCGATGCCTGACCGTTTGAGCACAGGCATCCCCCATCAGTGGACTTTAGAGGTCCGCTACTCCTAACAAGAAGTCCCCAGTGAAACCAGGAGGATCTGCAGAAACAAGGTGCTCGCGGTGTTCACGCCTTGATTTCGCCCCCTGTCTTTCGGCCCAACCCCCGTGGCCGCAGGTGCCTGCGAATTTTGCGATCCAAGCATGGACCAGCTGCAGGACCCAATCCGACATGTACATTCCGAGATCGTGGAAACTAGCGGCCCATGGACCATGGATCGGCATTCAAATTAGACTCAAATTGGGTGCAAAGCCATCTCACGCGCTGCAATTCACGCAGCTGTACTTCGGCCCTTCAGCCTTGAGTGCTTCGATCGCGGAGGCCTCCAAGCCTTTCGTCGCAGATGTGGCCGTGGAGGCATCTGAGTCAGAAGCCACGGACTTCTCAGACTTTGCCGTCTTCGTCAGCTTCTTAACATCCACGGTGAACTTGATAGCATCAGCAGCTGCCTTCGTTCGAAGATAGTAAAGGCCTGTCTTCAAGCCTAGCTGCCAGCCGTGGAAGTGCATGGATGACAGCTTGGCAGTGGTCACATCCGTCATGTGAATGTTCAGCGACTGCGACTGATCGATGTAAACGCCGCGATCACCGGCCATGTCTAGGACAACCTTCTGCCTGATTTCCCAAACAGTCTTGTACAGCTCTTTGAGATCCTGTGGCAGGTCCATGTTTTGCACACTGCCGTTGTGCGCGATCAGCTGCACACGGAGTTCCTCGTTCCACAACCCACGCTGGATGAGATCCTTGAGCAGGTGGCGATTCACTTGCACAAACTCCCCCGAAAGCACCCGGCGAACGTAGAGGTTTTGCGTGTAAGGCTCGAAGGACTCGTTGTTGCCCAAAATCTGTGCTGTGCTGGCCGTGGGCATGGGTGCCACCAGCAAGGAATTCCGAAGCCCGAATCGGCCGATGCGTGCTTTCAGCGCCGCCCAGTCCCAGCGGCCACTGCGCGGCTGCCGACCCCACAGGTCGAACTGCAGCAGGCCTTTGCTGGCAGGGCTACCTTCGTAGGTCTCATAAGGGCCGCATTTCTCAGCCAGTTCACAGGAGGCCTCGCAAGCTGCGAAGTAGATGGTCTCGAAGATATCCTCGTTGAGCTGCTTCGCCGCCTCGCTCTCGAAAGGCAGCTTCATGATGAGGAATGCATCTGCAAGACCCTGCACGCCTAAGCCCACGGGCCGATGACGGAGGTTAGACTTACGAGCCTCCGACACCGGATAGTAGTTCCGGTCGATGACTTTGTTCAGGTTGCGGGTTGCCACCTTGGTTACCTGGAAAAGCTCCTCGAAGTCATAAGTCCCCTTCGAGCTGGCAAAGGCTGGTAAGGAGATGGAGGCCAGGTTGCACACTGCCACCTCATCCTTCGCAGTGTACTCAATAATTTCTGTACAAAGGTTGGAGCAGTGGATTGTGCCGAGATTCTGCTGGTTGGACTTGCGGTTCGCGTGGTCCTTGTACAGCATGTAAGGCGTGCCCGTCTCCATCTGCGACTCGAGAATGCGGAACCAAAGCTGCTGTGCCTTGACCACCTTCCGTCCCTTGCCCTCCCTCTCCAGGCGCGTGTACAGCGCCTCGAACTCCTCGCCCCATACATCCATTAGCCCCTTACCACTTGTCTCGTCGTAGGCCTCGTTTGGGCAAAAGAGAGTCCAATCCAAGTTGTCCTTGACCCGAGTCATGAAGAGATCCGGAATCCAGAGCCCATAGAAGAGATCCCGGGCGCGCTGCTCCTCCTTGCCGTGATTCTTCCGCAGCTCCAAGAAGTCGAAGACATCTGCGTGCTTTTCATGCTTTTCAGTCGACGGCCACAGGGTGCCACGCCCTCGAGGCCTCACAGCCCGCTCTACCAGTCGTCGTAGAAAGCGGCGATCTTGGCAAGGCCGGTGATCGCCTCCTCCTCCCATGCAGCCGCTGCAGCGCGGGCAGCCGCGCACGCCTCACGGGCGCTTCCCGAGGCCGCGCACAATCGCGCCTCCTCGTCGGCCCGACCATTCAGGATGCGAGCCGGGATTTCGCCTCCAGGGGGCGTCAGCCATGCAGCAGGGGCCGGCTTGCCATGGCTGGGGATCCAGTGGATCGTCGCATCAATCCCAGATGACCTGATTTCCTGCCACCGCCTTGCAACGTCCTCGACTAACAAGCGGCAGCACCCGCACCCATCGACGGCGCGGATCGCCGACTGGCAGTCCGAGACGACCACCAAGCGCCCAGTGGCCTGTATCAGCTGCACCGCCATGAGGAGCTTTCTGATGGCCTCCACCTCCGCCCTGTAGGCTGACTGGTCCTCGCCGACGACTCCTGAGCTGAAGACCGGGCCATCTTGCACAGCCACGGACCAAGCCGCAATGTCGTGGATGCAGCTACCATCGGTGCCAACGAAGACGATGGGCTGGATGCTCAGCATCTGGAGGAGGATTGCCGCAAGCTCCTCAACCACTTCATCCTCCCCAATCACGCAGGGCGACGGGGGAAGCTCGGGAACGATTTTGCAAAGTAGCCGCTCCTCAGCTCGATTGACTGGTGCCGCGCAGCGGGGCCTCAGATGCGCGGTGCCACTGCATTGCCACAAGAGGTGAGGACGGCTCGGCATGCGCTGGCCGCACATGCACTCAGCAATCGCCTCAGCGGAGACGCCCTTCTTCTTCGCCTTGGCCCAGACAGAGCACCCAGTAGCGAGTGAGGAATTGCGAAGATGCCGTTCGCCCTGAGGTGGAAAGAGCTTCCGGTGGCCGGCCATCACACACAGAGCGTTAGCAGGAACTCCAGGTAGCAGAACGCCCTGAGCAAGATCACCATCCGGAGCGCTACGATGTAGACGCCGCTTCACCCGAGCGGTCTCCTGCAACGAGGCACGGCGATGCCAGTCAACCAACCACTGCTTCAGGACAAGCTCGCTGTCGTAGCCGACGTGGAAAGTCCGAAGACGCCCGCATTCGTCTCGCCGACCAATGACGTCACCCGTCGCCGAAGTCCACCATCCCAGCTCGCCAAGCACGGCCGTGGCCACCGGCAGCAAAGTAGGCCAGCGCCTCGTCGCAAACTGGATGGACGCGTCCTCCAGCCAACACGGCGGCTGACATGCCGTGGCAATGGCTGCACGCAAAGCCGACCATTTCCGAGTGAAGACCGGGTCGCAATCCCAACCAAGCACCTCCCACAGCAGCAGCGCCGGAGTGTCACAAGCGTTTTTGTGATTGACTGACGCCACCACCGCACGTCGAAGCTGAAGCAGCTGCTCCTTCTCGATGCTAGCCATGGCACCAGCCCACGACACCAAAGGCAGCACCAACGATCGGATAAAGGAGGCCTGCATGGGAAGGCCGGTGGCCACCACGTTGATGCACTGCAGCCTCACATCGGCGACCTCGAAGGAGTAGCGGGCCAACATGGGGACGCATCCGGGACGAAGGTAAAACCGAACACCCAACGTCTCGAACTCGGAACTGTGCTCATATCCGAAGCGAGCAGCCGCTTGAGGCCCCACGGCTCCGCCAGCCGAAGCCACCTGACACTTTGTGGCATCACACCGAAACTGGAAAGCGCGGTCCACACGGTCACTGAGCCTCTTGGCTTGGGTCAAGGTGTGCAAGGAGCGACCCCAAAAGCTGCGGTCGTCGACAAAAGTCACGGCCTCACAGGCTGATTGAGCGACCGTGCCAGTCCACACCGACATCACCGCAGCGGCCAACAACGGCGACATCGGATCGCCCTGAGCCAGTCCTCTTGTGGCCGGATGCCACGTGGCCCCGACCCAACTGCCGGTGGAGAACACGCGCCACTGCTCAGACAAGACGCCCTGCACAAAGTCGACGAAGAGCTGAGGAGCCCGTAGAAACCGAAGAACTTGAAGCAGGTGCTTAGCATGTATCCCGTCGAAAAATTTTGACACATCTTGCCCCACAAACACAACCGAGGGGTCGTCACTGGCCTCAATGATGCGGAGGAACACGTCCCTGGTCGAGCGACGGTGCACACCACCCAGCATCCTGTGTCCGAGCCACCCATCGGCCCACGCCCTCATGTCTCTGACCAACAAAGCAGCCCCCAAGCGATAGGCCACACTGAGCACCGATATGGGCCTGCAGCCTCCGGTCTGTTTTGGGACCAAAGCAACTCGGGCCTCCCGCCACCGAGCCGGCAACTTAGCGGACTCGAAGGCACATTGCCAAAGATCCCCGAGGGCTCGCCAAAACGTCCCCGGCAACGAAAGAAAGTGCGAAGCTTCCCACCCATCTGGCCCGCATGCTTTGCCACGCATTTTGGAAGCAACCTTCAGAAGCCGAGTCGAGGAAAAGGTCGGCGTAGCCGGAGAGCCCCCAGACGGAGGAACAAGTGCAGAAAGGAGCTCTTGTACAGGGCCCTCCTCGACCTCGCCAGCCGTCCATCTAGGACACCATTCGGCTTCAGCACGGCGAATCACCTCAACCGGATGGATGGCCGTACGCCTCATCTCCTCAGCCGCGCTCCACCGAGGATTCGAGAGGCCAGCGCGCAAAGAGGCCCGGCGCTTGATCCAAGCCATCTGCTTCTTGGTCGAGCCGCTCAGTGAGGACCGCCACCTAGCAAAGCCCGCCTCCAGCTCAAGCCTAGCAGCCTCCTCCACCTGAGATTGGACCCACTCAGCCTGCTGCTCCATGGTGAAGAACGGAAGGTCCTGCAGCCACGGGAAAAGGTCCTGGAGATCACCCACGTTCCTGCCAACGATGTCACGGAGCCGGGCATCCTCAGGACATCGCGCCAACTGAGCCAACCGGCGCGAAAGTCGCCGCAACCGCACGAGCCCCAAGGACTCAAAGCCTTTCGCGGCCTTGCTGCGAGGTTTAGCGCCCTGTGGCGCCCAAGACGCGGACCGCGCCACCACACCACGACTCACACCACCCAGTGCAGCCTCCGCCGCATTGGACAACATGCACCACGCAGCGTCAACGTCCTTTGTCGCCAAGAAGTTGTGGAACCGCGGCGCATCCCAGTGCTCAGCCCAAGCAGCCTCCGACACCTCAGCATCACCAAGTGGCGCACGAGCCGGAGCAGAATGCCCCGACGGGTCAGTGAACGAGAACTCGTAGCTCACCGCCGTGTGGTTGCCCACGCCACCAGCGTGCCTCAGCGCAACCGGACGCAGCCGCCCCGCCGACAGCCCATAGTCAATCCGTCGGTGACCGCCCGCCGTGCCAGGCAACGGCCCTTCCGTCATGAAAGCCGAGTCCAGCGGCTCGGCCCATCCAGCCGCCATGCGCCTAGCCATTGGCGCCTCATCCACCGTCACGTTGAAATCACCGAGCAGAAGCCATTCCATGCCCAGCCCGCGGACCGCCAGAACGACCTCCTCAGCATAGTTCGCCGCCGCCTCGCAATCGGAGGCAAAGCCATACACACTCACCACAACCACCTTTCGAACTCCACTGTGAAACTGGAACTCGAGAGCCACTGCACTGTACCTGGACTGGTCACCCACACTCGGTAGTCGAATGGGCTGGCCAGGTGCTCTGGATAGAACAGCTGTACGATGTAGTCCACCAGAGCCAACACCCAAAAATGCATGATAACCATGGGCTCGCCAGGCGTCCACCCAAGTGGCCACGCTTGCTGTATTGATGTCCACCTCCTGGAGGCACATGACCTGACAAGGAAAAGCCCGCATGTGATCATGGATGGCAGCAACCTTCGTCACCCCCATCCGGTTCACATTCATCGTACTAAATATAGTCATGAAAGCTGACCGTCACCTCCCATGGCCAAATCGGCGTTCACAAACAGCTGGGTCAACAAGTCGGGATCAACGCCGTGGCCCAAAGTCTTAGCCTCCTCGAAGGATGCCCGATGCCGAGCACGAACTCCCTCCAAAATGGATTTGTCGTACTCATGGCAGTGGCCCTCATGCAGCTGGCGGCGCTTTGCCACGCGCGTGCACAGGCCACACTTCACGCAACTCCACGCCTGTGTGACTTTAAGCACCCGCTTCTTGGCCTTGTTGGCTACGAAGGGCCACCGGAAAAGAGTCCAGCCTGGAATGGCGGCCAGTCCCTCCTGTCGTCTCTTCGCCACACCCGCATTGAGTTCGCGAACACGAGCCTGCATACGATGCGCAGGCTTCCGGGCACCCCTGGCCTTGATCTTCGCGAGGTAGTCCTTCTGGCTAACATGTCGGTGCTTCGCCTTGCGGTGGCGCTCCTTGGCAGTGGCAAACGTCTTAGAAGTCATGCCGCCCCGCGTGCCCACCGGCAGGCCCCAGTTGCAAAGCGGGCACCTCCAATCCTCCGGCTCGTCGGGCCCCAGGGGCCTGAAAACGTCGAAGTTCACACGCTTCGTCCCCGGCAAACCCTGGCCTCCATGTTGGCGTTGGCAATGATCATATCGCCGTTTTTGCAAGGTGTCCGGCGACTTGGTCTCAATGACCATAGGGCACAGCGGGCAGGGCCACCGAACGACAGCACCAACACGATACCTTGACAACTTCGGCTGGCGCACCACTGGCTCCGGGGTACTCGGCTCCAGAGATGTCTCGGCCTCGCCCGGCACCTCAACGTCAGCACCAGCCTTCGCCACCGCCGACAATGACACCCAATGGTTCGTCTTGGCCCGGAGTCGGCGACGAGGTGGGAGCAGCACAGGGCGGGTAGAAGACGCCGAGGACAAAGACCGAAGATCAGCCGGCGTCGGCCACGACCGCGGGGGACGATGGGCACGAACTGAATCCAAGTCGCCGGCCTGCAAAGACGATGGCCTGGAGCCCACAGCAGACAAGTCATCAAAGACCATGTGCCCACCAACCACCGGGGGCACAGGAGCGATGTCAGCAGAGCCACCGCCCCGTTCAATGGGAACCCCAGAGCCGGCACTCGAGGCAGTATCGATCACCATTCTAGGAAAGTGGCCACCCTCGGGAGCCCCAGCTGCCGGCACCACCGCAGTCATGGAAGCCTCCGATGCCGTGTCAATGCACATGAAGCCGCCGCCTCGCCCGCCAACGGTGTTGCCCACGGCCGCGTGACACCAAATGTCCACCAGGGCCTCCGGCGAGCACTGGATCCACTCATAGTGCTTGCCGCTAAACTTCAGCACGATAAACGGGTCCGAGTCGGCCTGGCTTGCAAACTTGAAGGTGGCCTCGGAGTCAAAGTCAAGGATGAGGAGGTTGGCCGGCAAGCCCCGGCTCAGGGCATACACCTCAAGGTTGCCACACCAGGAACCCACCGCCTCCACCGCTGAAAGGTACTCCGCAAATGACAGCTGGCATGGCTTGTCGCTCGTGTCACGGCCGTCCCAAAGGGGCTGTAAATGTGAAGCCTGCTCCCGCATCCAGCTGATCATGGCGCGGCGAACCCCACGATGGCTGAACGGCTTGCCGGCATGCGATGTCAAGGCCTGTGCCACGGCCGCCGGGAGGCAATTGCCACCCCCATCGTTGCTGATCACAGTGGCCCCCGGCGGCAAAGCGAGCTTCGGCTGCTTGGGTTTCTTTGCAATCGGAGCCACAGCCGCAGCCTGCCGCTTGTTGCCCATCATGGGGTTGTCTCCGGCCTCGACCTCGCTCTCCACCTCGCCGTCCAAGGCAAGCAAGTCGTCAAAAGGGTCCTTCGGCAACTCCGGGCCGCTGCGACTGGCCTCGACAACCGCGCCTTTGGCGCCCTTGCCTGCACCCTTGTCCCGGGAGGCAGCCTCCTGAGACCTCACCGCCACGCTCTGCCGACGCTCTGGCTTGATGGCCTCACTCGCCTGATCCCTGCGCCCCTGACGACGATGCCGCGAGGCCTCCAACTCGAGTGTGCCCAACTCCGCGTCCTCGATCTTGATCGGCACATAGTCCCGGCGGTCGGCGCGAAGGCCCAAGAAAGTCCACCGAGCCGCCCGCCTATCACGATAGCGGGCCTGGATCTCCACCTGCTCAAAGCCAACATCCGCCAACACCTCCTCGAGCTCGGCAACGTGCCAGCCAAAGGGAACCTGCCGAAGATGCCAAAGACCCTGTCGGGCAGCATTCCGAGGATCGCGAGGGTCAATGCGCACAGCCAGCCGCTTGCCGTCGTGATAGAGGCCCATGTCGCCGGACAGCGCGACCACACGCCGAAGGTACTGGCACGGCATTTCGTCCGGCCTCTGCGTCTCCCAAAGCAGCGCGGGCTGGTTCAGCGTCAGGTCCGCCCACTTGAGCGGCTGGAAGAAGAAAGTGGTATCCCCAGCGCACCGGCCACCAGCAGCAAGCAGCGCTCGCGCAGCCGAAGGCGAAAGTCTGACAAGGCCCTTGACGACACCGGTGGGATGCAAAGCCTGGCTGTCCCCGGTCTTCTCCCACGACCAACTGTCGAGAAGATCGGCCGGCGATCCCCCAACACGAGTGGTCCACTCCCGTAGCGCGGCCCCCGGACGATGGAGTACCCTCTTCCACCGGTCCTTGTCGGTGAAGCACTGGGCGCAACATGCCCTGAGCACAACAGACTCCTGGTAGGCCGATCTCTGCTTCGGCGGGCGCGCCTCAAGGAAGTCAACCTCGACGTCCAAGGGAAGCTCCCCCACCTCTGGTTGCCCCCGCTGCATAGCCACAACCCAGCACTTGCGCAACTTGAGGCTCCCTCTCAGGACTCCCGGTAAGCTCCGGCGCTCCACTGGGTAATCGCCTTTCAGGTGGTCGAGCTCCGCCGTCGCCTCGCCATCATAGACCAGGAGCGACGCCGGATGGCACCCGCCGCGCATCAGCTCGCCGAACTCCTGCAGCTCCCGGGGATTGTCGGTGTAGACCAGGACCGCCTCGCCCTTGTCAAGCTCGCGCTCCAGATCCGCCGCTGCCGAAATAACGGCGGAGAAGTTAAGGTCATTGGGGCGCAATTTCCACTTGACCTGCTGCCATCCATCCCGCTGCCAACGCCGGGCCTGAGGCCGTGGAGCCGGTTCGGCACTTGCATCATTTCCTTTGCCCTTGCCCTTGTCGGTGCCCTCTGGCTTGCCTTTCCCCTTGGAGGTGGACTGGAGGCCCAAAGCAGCAGAAGCCGGCTCAGAAGTGCCGCCCCCAGCCGGGCCGCGAGATCGCCGCCATGGAGGTGTTGCCTTGCCGTCCTTGCCAGCTTTGCCACCGCCCTTGTCACCCTTCTCTGCCTCCTGCTGAGCCGGCCGGCCCTTGCCTTGCTCAGGCGATCCTTGTGCAGCCTTGCCCTTGCCCTTGGGAGACCGCTCGGAAGGCGCAGGTCCAGGAGGCGGCGGCCCGAAGAATTGCTCGGCCAGCTGCAGCACCATGGATTTCACAAGCCTCTTGACGTCGCCTTTGGTGAGGCCGGCCTTCTTGGATCGGCGTGGCACCTGAGGTCCAGGATGCAGTGCCTCGCCCACCCTTGTCCACAGCCACTTGTCAAACCGGAAGCTGTGCAGCAACGAAAACCGAATCCTCGAGGAAGCCGAGCCGTCGATGACCTTGGTAAAGTCAACAACGGCGCCCTTGCCCGCGACCACACCCGGGGAGCAGCCAGCGCCATAGACCCGCGCACCCAAGTGCTCCCAGTGCGCCCTTGCATCATCAGAAGCCGCGGCATCAGAGACCGCATTCGCAACCAACGGCAGCTGCTTGCCACCAGCCCTTTCCACACGAGATCCCTCAGACGAAGGCTTTGCCGAAGAGTGCTCAGCCCGACCACCCCGCGAACCACATCGAAGTAGCGGGCCCCAACTCCGGCCTGTCCATCCATCACGGCGCTTTGGTGCACACTCCACCGCCGCACCATCAGCCTTCGGCTTCGGCCCCAGCAAGACCTGAGAAGATGCCCGGCCGTCCCGCAGCCGTCGCCTCTTCCGATTCCATCCTCTGCGTCTGCCAGCGCGCCACACCGCATTGAAAGCGACGATGCGACGGCGCAGTGCTTGCCTGTCAGCGGCGATGCCAATCTCCCTGCGATGCTGTCTTGCACGAGCAGCTTTGCGAAGAAGAAAGCGCCGAAGGCGAGCCCGACGCCTGAAGCCGGGCCTCCTGAGATTCTGGGTCTGCCGGCCACCCCGGCCGGTGCTCCTAACTGAACATCCCCACTTCATCAGGAAAAGGATCACGTAGAAGGCGCTCGCGAACCCAAGCGAGCTCACCACTGCCATGGTTGCGCAGTCGTATGCTGCGCCTCGAACCGCCCCGACCACAAAGGCCAGGCAGAACCACAAGAGCAATTTGTAAAGGAAACGGGCGCACCTCGTGAAGGTTTGCTCATGCGCCCAGACATCTGCGTGCCAAGGCTCCAGGTACATCGCGAAAGAGCCCTTCCTCTTTCCTCCACCCTGATCGACGTACCGCGCCGTCTCGTTGAAGTTCCGGAGCATGGGCACGAGGCCATTGCTGTGGCCATTGGTGCCACGAATGTACGACCCGCCAGCACGCACATTCGAGATCGCCACGCCGATTCCGCCGGCGGACTTGGAGATGGAGGCGCACTGCTTCCTGGGTCCCGACAAAACAAAAAAGTATTTCAGCAACAATTTGTACAGGAGTCATATGCTATGTCGTAAGTAAAGCGATCCCGAAAACGAATCTGGGCTCAGGGTGTCGTAGATTCCTTCGATGCTGTCCTCCTGCATCTTCAGCAGGAAGCAGGATGACATCTGAGGCTTTGGGGTGCCCGCATTGAAGAGGGTCGGTGTCGCATGGGTAAAGAACTTCCGTGACATCAAGTCGTATGTCTCCAATGCGGCCGACAGGTCTCCCACGTGGATGCCACAAGCCGCCCGCATGATCATGTGCTGAGGCCTCTCCACGATCTTCCCATGCACACGCAAGAGGTAGGACTTCTCCAGGGTCTTGAATCCGAAATAGTCGTAGCCCAGATCTCTCTTGTAGTCGATGGCTTGGTCCAAGGCCTCTGCATTGGCACAAATGAACTCCCAGACGTCGTCTGCTAGAAGAGCCGCGGGCCTGCCCTGCTTGTCCACGTAGCTGTGCAGGATCTTGCACGTCTCGTAGAAGGAACTGGATGTGTTCTTGTGCAGGTTCGACACCGCAATTCGCGCCGCCAAAGTAGAGAAGTCGGGGTGCTTCTGCGACATGTACGCGCAGGTCTCGGCTGCCAGGGTGTCCACCTCGGACGTGGAGATACCGTTGTAGAAACCTTCCACCACTTTTTGGGTGACAGGCACTGGGTCGACGTAACGGGAATCCAAACCTTCGCAGAGAGTTTGAATGCGCCGAGTGATGGCGTCAAACTTCACCTCTTGGCTCTGCCCATCCCTCTTGACGACATACATCGGAGCCATTCGCACGCACAAATTGGTGAAGGATAGCTTGGGAGAGACAGCCCGTCTGTTGGTGGGACCAAAGACCTTGAGCCAAAATGGGACACAATTGTAGGAGTTCCAGACATCCTTCGCTCCAAGCCTCGCATGATCACAAGCATCCCGTGTCCCAATTGTTTTCGGCATCTTACTGCCTTCTGTCGGACCACTGGCAACCCGGCACCTCTAGCTTCTGCAAGCGCAACTTCTCTCAGAGAGGCGCCTGCTCTTGGCCCGAACACACCCTGCTAACACCTTTGCAAATGCCACTTTTGTTCAGTGGCTCCGCCGGGGGTGCCCTAGGATGTTCATCTCAGGAGATAGATTGCGGAGGCGGCTTGGTGCATCAGAGGACTCATTGGCTGCTAATTGGCACATCAACATCAACAGTTGCGACAACAGTTGGTCACATAGCATATGTTTTTCTGGTTGCATGCGCTAGAAGTCATCATTTCGATGCACCGCGCCTGCCCAAGCATCTGTAGGAAAACAACATGCAATCGCGGCGCGTGTCACGCTTCAGGTCCTGCGGCTTGGTCAACTCGGCATGCAGCCATATTCCCAAACTCTCCACAAGATTGCACCCATCCCATCCCAGCTCACGGACCGCTGTCTGCGCTGTCTAAGAGCAACTTGTCGTCTTCAAGCGGCTGCGGAGGCGTGGAAGGCAGAGTGCCGGCCTGGACAAAAGAAGAAGGGGCTCCACTAAGTGACGCAGGCATCTTGGATGCTCTGACTTCTGGGGAGTGGGCCAAAATCGCGGAGATGGCAAAGATTCCCGCCTCGGCTTGTCTTGCAGTGTGCTTGCAGGCTCGCACGAAGCAACGCGCGCTACCATTTGGGCAGCAACTTCACATCTATTTCAAGTCCAAGCTGCGATGAGTGCGAAGGATGGCAAGACTGCACCGACAGAGTCAACCTGACGAGGATGAACTACGATCGATCTACACACGCCAGACCTAGAGTGGCTCTGGCAGTTTTGGCCGTGTTCAAAGGCTCCGATTCAAGACCTGCCTTGCCACCGCCACTGGTGAACGCGAACATGGTGCTGAAGACCACAAATCCAACAGTCGCCGCACCCTGCGCAGAAGCTACAATTCTGGCCCTATTCAACCATGGCCAATTCAGTCAACAGTAAAATTTAAGTAGACTTACTTACACAGACTTACACCCAACCAGGTCGCAGGCATCTGTTTCTGCTACTGCTGCTGCTACCGCCAACTATCATTCGCCGGAACTGCTGCTCCTGCTACCACAGAATGAGCTTGTGTCTGGACTTGCAGCTCAAGCCAGCCGGAAAACTGACGTACAGCTCATGCATCGTGGCACGAGGACACTACACTGCGGTTGATGCCCCGAACACTGCTTCAACCGCAGCAGAAGCGCTTCTCGAGTCATGTGCATGCCCCGTCGTGTCCCTGTCCCCACCTTGGACATGGAAGCGACTGCACCCTGCACCAGGCCCTGCTCCGCAGGGGAGACCAACATGCTCTTCCTTCCACGGGGTGGTCTGCGCATCTGTTGAATCTTTTACAAAGCTACAACTTCGACAGCTAACCTCCAGCCGGGACTCAGTGCTTGGACCAACGGTACAGCCAGAGCAATCGGGCCAGCGAAAAGAAAACAGATGAGGGCCAGCTGCCATTGCTCCTGCTCAGTGCCCCCAGGGAAAAGCCCCAAACAAGTGACTGCCCGGTGCTCTATCAATGCATCTGCGGATGGTGGCTTTATAGGGTTTAACAATCAGCTTGAGATCTCGTCCTGGCAGAAGGCAACTAGAAATGGCACAATCACCTGAACTCGCTGTCTGCCGAAGCTTGATGCACAAACCGAGATAGAAATTGCATCCAGGGGCGGAAGCGGCGAGGCAATGCTGAAGAACTCGCACTTGGCCACATTTCTTTACGGCCGGTCCCAGCAAGCACGTGAAGGAGACCTTGGCCAGGAACGGGAGAGGTGTGCCATGCTTCAACTCTTCGCAAAGGTAGAACCCTCCTCACCTCCAGACCCCCGTGGACGAAAAGCACAGTGAAACAGAAAGATTCAAGACTTGTCGGATTCCACCCAAGCCACCAAGGCTGAGATGGCCATCGCACATACCAGAATCAGCTTATTGCTTCTGGTATAACCCAGGTAGCCCATCATAAACCTCAGCCGTCCGCATGACGAAGACGCAGCTCGATGCAGGGTATTACGTCAGCCAGGGCACGGCGGCATGACGATGGCATAGCCCGAGGCTGCGAGGCCGGCACAAACGAGGACCATGGCAAGCCGAGCGATGAAGGCCTCAGTGCTTTGCTTTGCCAACAATTTGATGATCCATTTTGATCTTTGAGAGAGCTGCATTCCGATTGAGCAGAGAGAAGGCCGAACATGCCGAGGAAATCCTCAGATGAAAAGGCAGGCGTGCATAACGTACTGACGTCTGTCCGAGGCTTTTGATCTGACGACGACTCCGGAGATTTATGGCCTAGCTCAGCGACGTGATGAAGGGCGTTGAGCATTGCGCACATCAGGTTTGCACATTCTCTACTGCTTCTGCGTCTTCGCTTCACAGGTTTCGGATGCTTCGAGCCACCTCCAAACATGGGATTCTGCCTGGCGTCGGGTTCATCTTGCCCGACACGAGGGACTGTTCCTCTTCCGGCGCCAGCCTCGAAGCAGGAGGATGGATCAAGACGGGTGGATGGATGGATGGATGGATGGATGGATGGATGGATGGATGCTCGGGTGTATCCTGTCAGCATGCAAACACATCAACTCCGTCGCCGTTGAGCTGAATGCGGCGAGAAGGACTTGTGCTTGGCGCTCTCTGGAAACACGAAGAAAAGATAGACTAGCTTCACCTCAGATCAGGGGTCGGACGCAAACGCAATGATCTAGCCACACAACGAACGGAACACGGGTGTAGCCAGCACACACAAGCACCAGATGCAGAAGGAGCTGCTGTGCCAGCGATGACCGACACCCGAATGAGCCAAGCGCTCGGCAGAATGAACCCGAAGGGGACCACCTCGCTGTTTCAGACGCAGCTGTCCCAAGTCGGGTCTTGGACCCTTTCCAACAGCATTCGGCTAGGGAGGAGCCCACAGCCAGACCTCCATCATCCCTCGACTAGCCTGAAGACTACAGAAAGCCGCCTCCAACAGTCTGACCTCGAACCCCATGTTTGCAAAGTTACAACCACCACTACGACTACTGACTGTTACTGCCTCGATTGGCCCAGGCACAAGGCCCACCAGCAGCATGCAGGCGGCCATGAAGGCCCCGAAAGCTGCGGCGCGCTCCTGCAGCAGCGCGAGGCCAGGAGAGCGCGTTGTTATGGTGATTCCCCCGCGTGTGGCGGTGGAGAGGGGCTGGGACGCACGGGAATCATGATATTGGCATTCTCAGAGCCAGAATCCTCTAAAATGGTTTCGGGACGCGTGGGAATTACGAATTTTCAGAGCCTAAATCCTCCAAAATGGTGATTCCCCCAGCACCATTTAGCCATGTTCAGAGCCTAAATCCTCCGAAATGGTGATTCCACCGCGTGTGGCGGGGGAGAAGGGGGGGCGGCATGATTGAATTGCATATGTCAAGCTTCCATTTCTGTCCTGATGCAAATCTTGTCGGAATGAGAACTGATGCAAAGCTTCTCGGAATGAGAACTGACGCAAAGCTTCTCGGAATGAGAACGCACATACTGCTAGGGTTGAGTCTAAACCTTTGTCAGTGTAAGAAATTAGCTTGTCGTTGTGGTTTGAAATCTTGTCAGCGTGTCTTTGAACCCTGTCGTGGTAAGGACCTACTCTGCGAGACACACAGGGATGTCTTGCGTCCGGATTTGCGTGCTGTCTTCAGAACAGTGGCCCATCAACATGATGATGTATACAAGTTTGCACAGTGATGGCGGCGTTTTGTAGCGATAAGGCCAACACTACGTTGCAAAGTTGCTCCCAAAAGAGGGCACGTCCAGCATTCAAAAATTTATTTCGGAAGTCTCTGGAATAGAGTGGCTTCGGTTTGCTTTGCTAAAAAGGATACTCTTGTCCAGCAGAACTGCAATGTTCCTGAAGTAATTATTCCATGGTGATCAGGCACCTTTCCCAGAGAGCGGGTCAAGCACGACCATACAAGCTTCGTGAGACTTTTCTCTAACCACAGAAGTACCGTCCGAGGTGGCAAGAAGGACAGAAGCCAGGAGGTCAACAAGCTGTGCACCAGCTACCAAACACCAAAACTCGGAGAAGCCAGCACTCAGAAGTCTCCCAGCGTATCCAGCGTCGAGAAGCCGAGTCCCGGAGCTACCCTCCCAAGACCTGCCTGTGGGTCATCGATGGCATCGGCCATGACAGCTAAATATACCTCAGAGCTTTTTCATGTTTGTCTGCGAGCTCGAAGGCTCCAAGCTTTCTCTGCAACGCACCGCACCTTCTGCAGTCCAAGACACGCCGTTGACATCGAAGCACTCAACCTGCAGGGCGCGGCTTCTCAGACGAATCCGTCCAAAGCCGGACACAAGAAGTCTTCACTCAGCACTGAGGCTGGCACCAGTGGCTGGAGCACTAGGAAGATCCACAGCGTTATGCCTGTGAACCGTCTCGCGCGGTCTCGGGGTTGAAACGAGAGACAAGACATCAATCACTTACTGAGCCCAACACACCCTAAGCTCTCCTTTAAGCTGCTCTCAACGGCACCGCCCTGAACCACAAGCTTGCGCTGCCACGTAGACAGCCTGTTGTCACGTGCAAAGCGAGGGCCAGGCATGGCAGCATCCTCGTCTCAGGGGCTGGGGCACAGTCGAAAGAGGACTCTCTTCCCCCCAAACCGTCTCTGGGAGACGAACACATGGGGATCTTTTGCTGTGCCGCGGCTTCACCCAAGATCTTCCGTATCTTGACCCGTTCAGAATTTGAAGCACAGCAGCGTGGCAACGCCAAAGGCGCGGATCAGAGGTCTCCGCCCCAGAACATCGCTGCAGGAGCCCAGGCAGACCTGGGAGGGGGCAATCAACAACTGAAGATATTAACAGTCCAGGAGCTGCCAACACTAACACTGGCAAAGATGAGTGAGGAATGTAGCCCAGAATAGCCACTTGCTGGCTCTACTCGCTTGTAGACTACCGGGGCCTTTCCTGCTTCGGTTCTTTCCCACATCTACGGCTGCTATGTCGCTAGCAAGGCATCCAAGCCTTGACTGGGCAACAACATACACCAACAAAAGGCCACCAAGTCTCTGCTAAGAGCATAGCCACCAGGTTGGCCTTGCCCAGCAGTTTGCATGCTCTGAGAAAAGTAAGCCCAGAAAGCCAGACAGCCAAGAAGCCGCAGCGTTTGACCACCCAAATACGAGAGCGGCAAAGGTCGCTGCTCGCCGGCAGGGCTCCGAAGATGGGTTCACCTGTCGACACATGGCGAGATGATATGATATGATATGATATTCTGTTATATTGCATTATATTATATTATATTATATGCACAAACTGCGGCAGCAGCTGCAGATGCTTGGTCCAATGCTTGGTGCACAACAAGACATGAAAGCTGTTCCTGTAACCTCTGCCTCTGCACCCCTCCTGCCTCACAGTCGCCACCGCCATACTGCGCGGCGAAGAATCTAAGTCAACCGCATGTTACCCGATTTGGTGAAGATGACACAACATACTGTAGCAGTGCAGTGCGTCTCTGGCCGTCAGTTTCCCACCAAGCCACGTGCCGATGATGTATGGGACACATGGGCCAATCCTGGAAGTCACGTCGAACAAAACTCTAACAGTAACATGCAAAGCACACCGCACTTCAACACGAAGCCCAAAGGACTCTAAGCTGACGTCAGCTGCTGAAGCGTACCAAGGCCGAACAGCACCAGCAGGTGCCGAGAGCAGTACCTCACAGCAAAAGCACGGCAGCGCACACTACGCATGACCGGCGAAGCTTCGCACCTGCGCACACACACACACACAAAGAAACAAACACACACTTACAAGCCTGACTGCTATCAAGCTGCTGGAGGATAAGGTGTCGTTGTGCATTGTGTGTATCATGACAACGCGAGACATAAAACGGCCCAAATCAAGTGCCACCCTACCGCAGCGGCTGCATAACTCCACTCAAAAAGGATGGAAGATTCACAAAGGCACCAAGACACCCAAAGTCATAAGGCCAAGCCGGAAACTCCAAGAACTTGAGAGTGAAGCAGTCAAGCTGCACTTGTTGACATGCCTTTCCCAAATCGACACCGACTTTCTTTAGGTCATCGTCGGAATCGTTGCTAGCCTCGGGAGGAACAAGACGAATGGGAAAACTGAACTCAATGATGCTGCCGACAGCTTGACAGCTTCCAGGTCGGTGCTGTGTCGCAACAGTGACAGAAACTCAACTAATCAAGGACAATTGGAGCAAATGCCCTCAAAAGTTGCGAAGTCTGCAAGCCGCAGAGACGCCGGTTCGAAGTCCGTGGAATTCTCGATTGACTCGCTTTGTGACATGGCAGGGAAACTATCCTATGAAGAGACCCTGCCGAACATCTGCGAGGCTCTGTACACCCGTAGTGATGCTTTTGTCATTCAGAGGTGCTCTCTGATGCAGTTACGGACATCATTTCTCTTCTGCTGCTGCTAACGAGCTCGATCCAGGAGATTCCAAGAGCGTAGCACCACAGGTCTCCCTCAATCCCCAGGTAGGCAACACAATGACTGAATGACAAGCAGCGGCTGCAAAAAGGAGGAACAATCACATGCACATCCACGCTGCTGAGGTATTCTCTTCATCATTTTCTTGGAATGTAGCAGCTGCCACAAAGCGTCAAGAGGGGTAAACATGTCTTCAAGGCTTACCGGGAGAATCTCCAGGCATCCGCGGCCCTCGAGCTGCGTCTCTGAGTGGCAAAACACAGCATGTAAATGTGGCGTCTTGCTGCAAGCTGGTGGGATAAAGACGGGGAAAACTTGTCCATACGAATGTGACACGCAACTCTTTCAGCATGCGGCTCGTGAGCGTGAACCGTGAAGAGAAAGCTTCGCATTCAAATGCTTTCTATTTCTTCTAGCATCCGGAGACATCCGGGAACTGCTGAGAAGTCCTTGCCCAACTTACGGGGCCAGCTCTGCCGATATGGCATTACATGCATTCGGGGAAATGTTCATTGAAGTATTCGCTACGAACACAACGACAACGACACCAAAACCCACCACAACAAAACACTAGCACTCATGACGTGGATGACGATCCCGATGATAATCATGTTAAGCACGGCATTGAAGCTCATGCTCAAATCTGTTGATAGCCATAGCAAGACTGTCCGGCCATTACCAAAGAACTGAAAGGAGTAAGATCAACACACTAGGCAATCTGGACTGGCCGAATGGTGGCGCCAAGACTAAAACCAACCACAAGCAAGCTTTGATAATGAAAACATCTGCTATCCTCTCCAAGTCTACCTCTACTGGCAGCAGATCCAGGACACGTACATTTGCAGGCTAGCTCCTGGCGGAACGTGGCAAAAAAGCTCGTTCGCCCCGTCCCAACTCGCCCGAAGCATGAGGTCCTCCAAAACTACAATACTTGTGGCTTCTTCATTCCTGATGCCCACTACCACCACCAATGTCGGTATGATTTTGTGGAAGCAGGCCATTCTAACTGCGGTCATTCTGACTGCTGATGCTCTCATTATCTCGTTACTCTCGCAACTTTAGCCTTCGGAGCAACTGCAGTCGTCTCCAACATGGCGTTAGTAGCATTAGTTGTTGTTGTTGCACACTAGCTCAATGCAACAACAACAACATCAAGAGCAACAACAGCAGCAATTGCAGAAAAGTGACAGCAGCAGGGGGCGTGGGTAGTAGTCGTAGTGTTCGCGGTATTGGTGGTCGTCGTCGTCGTCGTAATAGTAGTAGTAGTTTTGTCACCCACTTGGCACGACTGCGTCAGCACTGCGGGGCCACAAAGGTCACGAGGTAGACTAGGAGGCGACGGCGGACAGGAAGAAAATCAAAAGAAAAGGCCTTACTAAAGAACCCCAACAAACGTTTATCGCCTCCCAGTGGAAAAGCGGACAGCTCAACTTTCAGTTGCACGAGCTGCATCCAAACGGCAAGGATCATTACTAGGATACCGGGGGCTCAGCGCTTTTATGCAACCATATGCCTGAAACAAACAAACACCTAAGGAAGGAGTGAGCACAGGCTGTGCACCCCGATTCGCTGTCTCCGCTATCACCGACTCCCATTGTCACGAGCCTGAGAGAGCCATCTACAGCTTTGCAGAAGCCCATTTAGCCAGCCTTCAGCTAGGTACAACAACCAGGGTAGGCAACCTTGTCCAGGCTCACCACAGCTGAACCACAAACCCTTCAGCCAGGCATATGGGTCTTCATTCGCAAAACTCTGAAGACATGTCTACTGTACAGACATGCTTACAACTCATCGAAAGGGTCTACAAAGCAGGGTGGACAGAGAAGGCGTTACAGTCACAGTTCAAGACAAGGACATGCAAGCAAATTCGCAGTTCATGGGCTCCACAGTGCCTATCAAGGACAGTCCAACATTTAATTACGTGCATTCAGGACAGTGCTCCGCACAGCTCATTGCAGCGGGTGTCGGCGTTGCCACCAACTGCCAGTCTCTCTGTCGTCCAGCAGACCACAACAGAGGTAGCGGTTTTCTTCTCCAGCGAAGGGCCAGGAGGAGGGATTTGCCTGTACCACTCTCTCTGTATGCTGTCGGTGCGGAGAAGGAGCTGCAGTGATTGGTCCCACAACTGCAGCTGTGTCAGTTCAACACAGACAAACAGGCCATGCCATCTGAGTCCAGCGGATTATCCGTGGAGACCACTAATTTGCGCGGGTCTCATCAGTATCTCCCAGCATGGGAGGTGGATACCGAAGTGGTGCCAGGCAATGCACTCTTGAGCCATGTCATATCTCACCTGCCAGTCTTGCAGTTTATCCTCTATGTATTCCATATCCACCTGCCAGAATTGTCTCTGATCGGGAGGTTGTGATCTGTCCTGCAATGTTGCCCGTTCAAGACTTTCAGAGTAGTATCCCATCTCAAACGATAGCGTGAAGTGCCACTGCCAGGCACGTCTCATCTGTCTCATATAGTTGTAAAACAAGACCGCCACGAAGTGGGCCGTGGGCCTGGGTAGCAGCGACAGAGTATGCCGCACTTCCCGGGCCATCAAAGGCTCAAAGCGTCGTAGGTGCGGCGTCAGTGGTACCGCAAAGATATCCATATCCATTGCTCCTTTTTGGGAATCTGTGAGCGCTCTCGCTCACTCCGACCAGAAAGGACTCGTTAGCAGGAAATATGGATATAGCCAGACCCTGTCGTTCCACCAGCTTGGGCCGTCAGGTCAGAGAGGCCATGGCTGTACAGCGGCGGTGCAACTACTGGTTCTTCACGTGTATAGTGTGCTGTCACCAGGTGCGCGCTTGCCAGAGGTGTGGTGTGCGGGCCCCTTCATGATCCCACTACACATACCAACTAGCAAGGACCAGACAGACGGACAGTGCGTGTGGTGTAGAGGTAAGGGCCCGGAGGCAAGGAGAAGTGAGTGAAACGAGAAGGGAAGGCAGTACAGCAAAGCAGGGGCAGCAGGATGAGCAAGGTGACCGTGTTGTTTCTAGAGTAAATGTTAGGGGAAGCACAGTGTGTTACACACTGTGTGTTTCTGGTTCGTGGGGTTCAGGGAGGTCCCTGTCATTGTGAAAGCATAGGTCAGTCCTTATCATCACCACACGACGACGACGACGGCGAACCAGGTAGCATCATCAGTCAGTTCGTCAATAGCATCATCATGCGACGACAACTCCTTTCCTCACTCCCTAGCAGCATGACACATGGGCAAGCGGTGCCTAGGCGTTGCTGTTACTGCGGCTTAAGGGTGTATCAAAGCTGCTCTGGGTCCCTTCAGGTGGGCTGTTCTCCTCACGGGTAAGGTAAATGGAGGTGTTCTTGCAGGTGTCAATCTTGCGTTTCAATGGAAAGAAGCTTTTGAGGGTTGTTTGTAGGTGTCGGGGCGAGGGTGGGAAGGAGAACCCAAGGCTCAGGAGGGTGTCCTGTACCACAGGCGGAATAAGGCAGGGCCTCACAGGGTGGAACGCACTAATGCTGATTCTCAAGTCCTCTGGGTTCCCAATGTGTTTACTACAATGTGGGGTCCTTGCGTCAAACAGGAGGGGCCTCTGTCCTACATCAATCAGGCATCCAGGGATCTTGTGACCTTGAAATGTTTCAAACGTCTTCCCTACTGTGCTCGAAATCCAGAAGCCACATGGGCGATCTCCAGAAGCAGACACAATCCCCGAAATCCCGTGCACCCGGGGATCAACGTGGGTCCGGTATTTGCCTCCAATCCGAATTCCTACCGTAATGAACTGAAGAGTGGGAAGTTTGAGTCTAACAAAGGTAGTAACCAGTTTGGTAAGGGCCGGTAAACGATCAGTGGGAAGGGTAAGGGAGGTAGGGTCTCGCGGAGAAACTCCTATAACCAGGACACCTTTCTTGTCGGGTGGCGACGTCCAGATTTTACGGGGAATGAGGTCAACAAAAGGGGCGAGGTCCAACAGGGGGAAAGGCTCCGAGTTATCAAGTAGGTTTTGGAGAGCTACCTGAGCCTGGTCTTCGAGTTCTAGGATCGACATGGGTGGCGACAGGACAGAGGACACGGACGTAGACCGTCTGCTAGTTCAGTATTTTGCATGATGTCTGCTAGTTTGCGAGCCCGAAGAAAGCCGACGTGATGTCACAATGATGTTGCCGATCATGTGGCCTCTTTCGGGAGGGCGCAATTCAGCTGCTTGTTTTGCTACAGTTCAGGCTTGCACAGTAGTTCACGAATTAAAGGACAGTTCAAGCATGCAGGGTCAGGGCATGTGAAGGTCATTAATTAGACAGAACAAAAGCTATACAGGCTCATATGCGTGATCAGCGGGCGCCGACAAACCTGGTTCGCAAGGGGGTCCTTGTGTCCTTGCAGTCCTTAGTGCCATTGTCTGCGTGACAATGATGGGTGCTCCTCCGTAGGCTCCGTCACCTCAGTATGGTCTGAGCTCGCCGGTGCCGATGTGTCCTGTGTGGGTTCTTCTTCTTCAGCCGGCCCTGTGACAGACCTGTCCTCGAGCATACCGCGGAGGGACAGGAGCCTTCCGTTTACTTTATCTATTTTCTGGTTCATGGCCTCCTGGTTCTGCTGGATCACGATGGTGGTGGCTGAGAAGTGGCGGGACATCTCTATCAACATGCTGTTAGTGTCGTGAACATACGTCCTGAGTTCCTCCACTGCCGTAGCTAGATTGTCGATGGTGCTCTGGGTCTGGGTCATAGATACCGTCGTGTTAATGCAGATCTTCTCAACAGCCTGGTTCTGTTTATTGATAGATTCAGGGATCTTGTCTCGTTGCATCGCAAACTCTTGTTCAAAGGAGATCAAGCGCGTTTCGAGGACATCCATTTGCTTAGCGACCCCTTCATCAAAGCTGTCCTTGATATCATCCAGATGATTCTGGATCTGCTGAAGATAGTCGGGGACAGTCCTCAGGAGCGGCGCCGAGTGGTCCTTTATGACGACGAGGAGTCCCTGAACTGCCAAGAAGCGTTCCTTGTACTCCTCCAACTCTTTGCCGAGCAGCCTAATCTGGTCCATAACTTTGTTATGGTCCCTTTGCAGACCTTCTCGAAGAACCATCGAGAAGATTCTGGGGCTGTCGCTCGTCACCACTCCAGTATGGAGGTACGTTTGTCGTTCCTGCCTAAGGCTCTCTCTGATCAGCCTCAGTTCACTGCGAGTGCTCACTAGGAACACTCCCATGCAGAAAGAGGCAATCAGCTGAATCGCGAGGCAGAACATAACAGCAAACTGGAGGGCCCACACATCCCAGACATCCAACCTACTGCCGAGGATGGGTTCCCAGAACATGTAGAGCTGCCTGACTGTGCTGTCGTCACTCAAGGCTTCCATGGTGACGTGGGGACTACACAGAATGGGGGTCGTCGTACACTCGAGCCATATCGGGCCAGTAAGGTTTAGCAGTGGCGAGATGTCCTGCATTCTACATCAGACTGGGGAGTGGAGTGAGCAAGCGGTATAGCTAGGTTTGGGGCGAGTCCGAAAAAAAGGGGGGGACTAGGGAAGGGGCGACAACAGAGCATCTCGGAGATAGGGTAGAAAAATGAAGGGAAGTGGGCTACTAGTAGTAGTAGTAGTAGTAGTAGTAGTAGTAGTTTGTAGTAATAGTAGTAGAAGTAGTAGTAGTAGTAGTTGTTGTTGTTGTCGTTGTAGTAGGAGTGCGCGCCCTCCTACCAACCACCTCTCCTAAACGCTGTTTAAGAGCACATCCGTTTTACTCAGTATTTACAGTACTTTCGTCGTGTCGTAGTCCAAGACCAACCACCGCTGTTGAGGGGTGGCGGGGGTGGGGTGGGGTGTGGGGGGCCTGTCGAGGGGTGCGCACGTTTAAGAGCACATCCGTTATGCTCGATGTTGCCACTATTTTTGTGATCATGATGTTGTAGTCAATACCGACGATGATGATGATGACGATGGGTTTTGGCGTAGTTGGTAGGGGGGGGGGGGAGGGTTGCTAGTATCAGTAGTAGTAGTAGTAGTAGTAGTAGTAGCAGCAGCACTAGTAGCAGCAGCAGCAGCAGCAGGAGGAGTAGTAGTAGTAGTAGTAGTAGTGGTGGTAGTAGCAGCAGTAGCGTAGTAGTGGTGGTAGTAGCAGCAGTAGCAGCAGGAGTAGGAGTAGTAGGAGTAGTACCAGTAGTAGCAATAGTAGCAGCAGCAGTCGTCGGCGTAGCAGCACGCGTATCAGCAGCAGCAGGCATATCAGCAGCAGGACGGCAGCAGATCCCGTGGTTGTCACGGTAATCTATTATATGGTCCTAAACCTTATGCACGCGAAACACTAAACCCTGAACGGCCTAAACCCCTAAACCCCAAAGCCCCTAAACCCCTGAACCCCTGAACCCTAAACCGCCTATGAACCCTAAAGGCCCAATAGTAAAGAGGGGATCGTCATAACTACCAATTGAGCTTTACAGGGTTCCGTCATCATTACAGCTGTACTATAGTATACAAGCCCTATGCTAACTACTGCGTGTCTTTATAGGAACCCTATAAAGAAGCCCGTCCTAATGTTCACCTCTTAAGAGTCCCGAGACCTCTAGTTCGCAAGAGGTCTCGGCGATTTCACCGAAGCCAAGGCAAAGTGCAGCAGTGTTGGAGGGGTTTTATAGCGTTTTCGAGCATAGGGGCCTTAATAATTCGAAGAGGGTTCCCCCAAGGGGCTTTCAGGATTGTTAATGGGGTTTCATATGAGTTCGCAGGATTTTAAAGGCCTGGTTTTACGGGTTCTGTAGGGCTCTATAGGTTTTAGACGGTGTTCTACAGAGAGATATTGGCCATGTTGTAGTTGTTTCCTTATTGGACAGAAGAGGCGCTTGTTTACTAATGAAAGGGGCCCTGGCCTTAGGGTTTAGGGTTTAGGGTTCTAGGGTTTACGGTTTAGGGTTCTTGCTTCCCAGAAGTTTAAGACTTTGGGCGTTGGATCTACATGTTTGGGTGGAGGGTCTAGGCTGCGTGAGGGTGTTGAGAGTTGGGGATGTAGTAGGGTTTTGTTGCAACAGCCAAAGCGCTCCGCGGCCATTGTTTCGATGTCCTTGCAGCTACTTGTTTCTTCAGAGGAGCATGTGCTTCGATGATTGTGCGATAGACCGAGGTGAGGACACCCTGAATCCTAAACCCCAACCCCCAGATGACGACAGTCCCTGACAGACCTCAACAAATTGGTTGCACACAGCTGTTTAAGCTGTCTGGCAAGCTTACTCGAGGCTCTATCTTTTCGGTTATTCAGGAACCGTTTCCATCACAATATAAACCCGAAGGAGTTGCTAAAGAGGCGTTATGAACGTTTTGGGTCAACCCCATGTTGAAACCCGACACCCAAGTTCGCCCCCAGAGCCGGCGAAGCTAGGGATGATAGGAGAGCTGCCTCCAGAGCAACTCAGGTTTCCTTTCCTCGAGGGTCCTAGGTACCCTTATGGGGGATACTTTCCCAAATCATGATCATTATTCCTAGTAGAGAAACCCTACATTCTGCTATGTGGGTGCTTTGGACCCTTTGGGTTTAGGTCACTGCGATGTAGAGGCCGCTCCAGGAAATCCAGTACGGCCTTGCCACATGCTGGTAGCAAGGGGAAGACAATATGCCGGGTGCAAGCCAGCAAAATGCTGCTGGATCCATCTTCTCCAGAGAAGAAATTTCAGCACAAGAACGGCAAGGTCAGTGGCCCATCCCAAGCAGCCGTTGGTCGAGGGGGAGGACGACTGAGCTTTGCCTCCGTTTCATTCCCATGCCACCGACTATTTGACGCGGCGCTCGCATCGGCTAGATCAGGAGATGTTATTGACGCCAATGGCTCTCGACTGAATCGTGTGTCCAATGCTGCAGACGGCGGGACTATCGATGTGGAATGTCAGTGCTTCTGCAAAGGGTTTGCGCAATCCCACAAGCTGTTGCAAAAGGTTATGATGAGCTCAACCATACGTTCTCTACAAGGGTTACTGCAATAGTCAGTGTAAGGGTTGCTTTAAGTTTTACTATATTGGGGTTACTTTAATATAGAAGCCCTATACGATTACTAAAAGGGTTTCTCGAATTCTAGGGTGATCAGATGTCTTCGAGGGGGTCGACCGGTCGAGCCGTGCGCCTACAGAAACCCAAAGCTCACTCCCAGTCTATTTCGGGTCTCGGATTTAGAGGTTAGGGTGCGAGAGTCTTTCGAGTTTCCTTTAGTAGGGCTTCGTGCCCCTGTTAGGTTTAGGGTTTAGGCTCCTTGCTGAGGAACTTCTCGCGCGATTGATGGCAGGCAAAGAGAACAACGAGGACCAAGAGAGCCGAATTCACTGCAGTGGTTTGGAAGGAAACATAAAACAACTGGTTTAAATCCTCAGGCACCGCGGTAATCTTTTTGTCTTGAACGCTTAGATGATCGAGTCCTCGTTACATTCTCGTTCACTTCTCGTTTAATTATTCATTCATGCGGTTCATGCGATCGATCCTTTTGAAGATGTCGGGCGTTTATCTGGGGCAGCAGGCTCTACAGATCCTGTCCCAGTCTTGATTGTCTCACTCAAGGTTCAGCATATTCCTATGATTACTGATCTCGGGAAGGCTTGCTAATAATGTGTCAACTTGATAAGCAGTATAGAAACCCCTTATAGAAACCTTTATAGATCCCTTGAAGGGACCCCCAAATGGGAGCAAAGCTTGTAATCTCGAATGGCTGGAGTTTGGTGAGAGTCAGAGCTTGCCTTGGTAACTCAAGCCCCATACACCCGAAGGGTCCAAAGTACCTATCATAGTAGAATGTGGGGATTCTACCATTATAGGAATAATATGAAAACAAGACTGGGACTATAACCCAAAGGGTCCAAAGTACCCATAAAGTAGAATGCAGGTTTTTCGCTGTTAGAACCAGGAATACTTATACTTATCATGACTTGGGGAAGTATATATAATGGAATGTAGGGTTTCTCCATTGGGATTTGATATCATGATCGGGGAAAGTATCCCCTCCCCAATAGCAGTACCTATAGAGCCCTTTGGGTCGACCCTAGACCCTAATGTAGGGGACTTAATAATTAGAATAGGGTTTGTGGGGTATATTGTACTATAAATATACTATTCTAATTATTAAGGCCCCTACATTACCTGGACCCTAAACACCTCCTCCGGGCTCCTTGTCATGACTTCCTTATTCTCGTCCTAAAAACTTAAAGCGTTTAGGGTTCAGGGTTTCGGGTTCAGGGTTTAGGGTTTAGGGGTTAGGGCTTAGAGGTTTAGGGTTTAGGGGCTTTGGGTTTAGGGTTAAGAAGGTAGGTCATCCGGGGCCCAGGTAAACCCTAAGTGCAAACTGCATCCCGCGGGCTCCACAGTGACGTTAGCTTCTGAAATCAGCAAACATAAACCCTAAACCCTAAACCCCTAAACCCCTAAACCCCCAAACCCTTAACCCCTAAACCCATCTCTTGTTTCGTTTTCTGCGGCTACACTGCGGTCGGAATAGCTACCACATTTTCCAGTCGGGCTCCTGCTTCTTATTCTACTAGGGTTTAGGGTTCATACTTCAACATACCCATAGGCTCCTAAATAGTTCCTTTTTGTGGTTCATATTTAGAATCCTATAAGGAAATCCCAAAAAGGAACTACTCAGGAGCCTATGGGTTCCTCAGAACCATATTCTAACTAGTAAGGAGCCAAAGAAGACTCTCACACAAACTGGGTTCCTGTTTCGGGATTTCGTCTATGTTACCAGAAGAAGGAAACCATGTTATTTACCATAGATCCCCTATTAGGGTAACCTAAATGAAATCCCTCAACCCTCAACACTAAACCCTAAACCCCTAAACCCTAGACCCTAAATCCCTCAATAACAAGATCCCAGCAAAGTGAGGACGGCCTGCTGCTCTCCGCTCTTGCGCTAGAAGGGCGCTGGTGGCTCGAGCCTCAGAGTAGCAGGGACGACGATTTTAGGGGCTTAAGGGGTTTAGGGCTTAGGTTTTAGGGTCATGATTATCACTACTTCCGCAGCTGCAGGAGAGGGTTTAGGGTTTAGGGGTTGTAGGGTTGAGGATGTACTGGCTGCAGGGTGTAGGGCTCATGGTCGAAGTGCACTTTGCTTTACCAAAGACTCAGTATCAACAACACATACTCCACGCAATCGCTCGCAGTCATGCCTCGAACGTTCGTCATGATGCTACAACTCCCCAAAAAAGCCAGAACGTTTGTTAAGGTTTGGAATTTGAGGTTACGGCAGCAGCTTCGAATCGAACATCGGCTCAGGTTTTGGCGCACCGTTTGGGTAGGCTTTTAGGGTTTAGGGTACAGGGGTGAGGGCCGTTTGGGTATTCAGCACATATTCTCCTAGAGCCTGTCTGCGGGTCGGATCATCACCAAC